TCTAGCTTTGTTAAATCCCCAGATCTTGCATTTTCCTCGTTTTCCATGTTCCCGCGGTTAACTTCGTTGCGATATGAACACAATTCCGTGGTCCAACGAGAAAAAGAACACCTGCTATTAAAAGTTATTTAATTTCTACGGAAGCCGGTTGACGGTTTCTAATTTTATTCATCTATATTCCAGCGAGAAATCTGAATGACCTTACACATAAATTGCAATTACACGTAACAATTGATTACGTTTACGAAACTTATAATACGGTCTTTTTCAATCGTCAAAGGTATTTAACGAACGAACCATTTAGTAACGTTTCCTCGTGGATACGGTATTTTATCGATTCGTTGGTCGACCGCATTATTGTCGTACGGTAACGAAAATTTTCCCGATAAAATACGGATAAAGGGATTTACGTCGAGCGCAAATCTTGTTTCACCGGCAAATACGTGTATATCGGCCAAAAGAACTGCGAACTTCTATCGGAGAACGTATGCCAATGCATTTTGCATCTATTTCGGCCGAATTTCATACGCGTATTTACAATGCGCATGCAAGCATAGTTTTCTATCAGGAACAATTCAATGGTAAAACAAGCGAAGAGCGAAGATACAACGGAGAAACGATGAATTAACATTTATAAATTGAGAGCTGCATGTTAAATTAGTAATACTGATTGCATTTTGTAAATTACACGAATGAATATTTACGGGACGTTATTTGCAAGTCCGATTTAATTGCCAGCCCGGTTGAATTATTTCAAAAACCTACGACGACCCATACGATTACGAATAAATCATCTTTTCGCAACGATATCATTAGGTATCCTTTTGTAACAACCGATTCCTTTATTGCCTCGTTGATTTATTTTGTTCCGAAAAATGACCACAAGAGCTGTACGTTCGAATCGAAGGAAATATTCACGGGCCAAAGGGGAGGAAAGATTGTGCCAAGTTTACTAGAAGGATTTTTAAAACACAGAGCACGTAGACAGATGCATCACCGTCGACAGTTTCATCGAAAGTTGGAAAGTTTAAATTTCGAAAGGGACGCGAGTTGCCGTGGAAATCGAGGAAACGTCTGTGTACAATAGCACGCGGTAGAAATTGTAATTTTCATCGTGGAAATGGGAAATGACTATGCCGCGAAGCGTGAAAACGACACGGTACGAATGAAACGATTACCACGAGGCAAAGTCAATTTCGCGATTTTTAACAATTTTCTTCGCTGTTACGTAAAATCGACACTGTCCGAATTATTTTTACCAAATACAACCCCCATCTTTCAAAATCTAAATTTAATTAACCTGAAACGTTCGGAATTGAAAAAAAAATCTGAAGCCACTCTAATTGACATAAGTCGATCGCGGTGACCTATTTACGAAAAGGAAAGATTCTCGATCACCGACGAAGAGTTACGAAAAAAGATTGAATACGATTGGTAGTCTGCGAGAGATATGTGAAATTAATTCGATGGAGCCTCGCTCGTTGGTTATAATCCACCATTTATATTCCTCGTCCATACGCTAAAAAAAGCTTGAACGAACTCATTTGGGTCAAAGTGGATCCTACGGGTCCAATACGCTTCGCCAGCGGAGGTGCAAAGTTATTCCGGTCGCGTGTGTTGCTTTTCTTCTTACTTCCACCTCGTATACAGGGTGTTCCATTTTAATCGATAGATGTTCCCTTTGTGCAGGTGAACATGTCGCTGGTATGGAATAGACGCGAGTGTCCTAGAAAATATTGCGCTTCGTGCCTGTGTATCTGGCTGCAATTCGAACGCCCATAAATACGTTCGTTTGAGGAAATGGAAAGGACTGGGAATAATCGTTTCCGGCAATCGACGCGGTGGATCTTCGGATCTCGGAATTCGGAACACAGATACCGATAGACGCGATTCGACGCGATGGAAAGATACCACGACAAACTTCCATCGATTCTCATGGGGCATAAACTTATTCGAATGGATTTGTACATCTGTAGTAGCGCGGAATGTTGGCGCGGTGTCACTGAATGGGGTTGACGAAGACAAAGTGGAAGAGTGTGATACTGTTCGCATCGCTACGATTCGTACGATATAAGATTATAGTTCATCTTCTCGACTTTTTACTGTTCTGGATAGTCCGAGGATCGGAAAAGCGTGTAGTGAAATTCAATCACCGGGTTGAATTTTTTTTTGCAAATTTGTAGATTCAATATGGAAGTCAGTGGGAGATGCATCGAATAATGAGAGTTTTGAAGTGTTAATTAATTTCGTTCCCAGAAACATACCGAAATTTTAATGAAAAACGTTTCGGCTACCCTTTATTAACGGCTACGCGTGTATTAACGAAAGGATTAATTAACAAAGTTACATTATTTTATTCTAATTCAACCGCACAATGAAGTAACGTGTAATTGGATAACTCCCACTCTCGTGTTATATGTTAAGAATCGTAGGAATTGATGGGAATATTTGATGTACAAAGAAGCGAACATATTTCTTCGATATTCAATCGGGAAATGTGTTTTCTGGAAAGCTGCCCGGATTAAATGAAAATGACATTTCGCGATATTCGAGCATTACGAAGAGGTCAGGATTCCGATAAAAGAATATCGGTCCTTGTAAGAGAAAAATGCCGCAGTATCGTTTCACCTGGTTCGAGAGTCACAAAAATATGATTTCATTTATCCTACTTTCTTTTCATTTTTCTTTTTTTAAGAGGCCGTTTACACGAGACATTGATTGCTGTTTCGTAGCCGCTCGACGGTAGAAGTGTGCTTGACGTCAAGAGGGTCGGTGAGAAAGACACCAACCACTATGACTCACGGCTTTTACTTATAGGTGTAATCGATATTTTGATTTCAGTACGTCCGAGGATAATTGCGTCCTCGTTACTGGCACGAGAAATTTTATCGATTTCCCCCGTTCTCAAACGTAATCGTCCATTCACACCGTCTAATCGCCGTTTCCATGCTCGCTGATCTTTAATCGTCCCATTAACCCGGCTCACGTAACCAGAAAATAAAATAATTTCTATTTTATATATTTTCCTCCGATCCTAATATTTCTCATCAATTACCGAAATTTTTCCAATAATTTCATAAGAGCTAATTTACCCCCTCGCGCTAAAAAATCGAGCGAATCGAGCTAAAAAAAGAGTCTATTTCGTGAAACTATGGATAAAAATAGGAGACAAGTTTAACTAATTTAAGGCACTTATTTTTCGACCATTTCCACGACCAGAAGTCATTAAACAATAACGCCAAGTATATGGGTCGACCAGGTCGGTCGATAAACCGATGGTACATTTGAAGCCTGAGCCACATTGGAAGCTTGAAATAATAGATACTCTATACTACACTTCTCGCATTTAAACGCGTGTAGATATTATATTGCAATCATCTCGGTTTAACGTGTTCCTGATTATTGAAATTTTGGCAATGTACCAGATTCCTATGGTTCTTTTATGTATTTACATTGTACGTACATTTGATTTGACGCGACCCGCTTATCAACTAACCAAGGAAGGTAGAAATATAATTATCGTGCGAAATTACTATGGGGTAAATAACGAAGCGAATAATAATGAGAACGTTAATGTGCGAACGCATAACTTAGCCACGGTGAATTTGCATTCCTGTAACGTTTCTATCTTGATCGATGTAACACACCTAGAAGTAATTTTCTCCTACTTGAAGGTATATTATGAAATGAATATAGAGCAATTAATTCATTTTATAAGCGATCCGTTATAACTCGATGCATATAGAACAATTGAAAATAAAATACTTTCAGTAACTCGTCTTTTCTAATTAACAAATTAAAAGCATTTTGCATTTAATTTTTACAGAAGAGAATGCTTTAAACGATGCTTCATATTATGGTCCGCTGAAGATTCAGTTTAACATGTTATTTCACGATTTTATCAAACACTGATATTATTCGTTAAATTCTAGCGAATATAATAGAAAATAAATTGCATTTCCTTAGTATGACAATGTAGATCAGATTTACAACATAGTTATAATAATAACATTCGGAATAAAAGCGATAAAATATAACATAGTCAACAGCATTAATTCATAGCTAATATTTACGTATATTTGTGTACCAATTAGCAATTAAATTTTCTCATAAATATCCCAAGAAGAATGACAATGTAAAGAAAGAGGCCTATGTTTAAGGTGTTCGATTAGGGGGGATGGTAGCTAGGACGATACTGAACAACTTTTTCCTTTACCAAATTGCAAATTAAAGCTTAGTTTTTGAATTATTCAAGAAAAATACCGAGCAATCAGAGGGCGCATAGTGCGCAGGCTCAGCCGCGGGAGTGTTGGCTACGAGCTGGCGTACTGGCAAGCAATTTGTTCACGACCATGTCGAGTGTGGTTCTCGTAGCCAACACTCCCGTAGCTCACCGCCATTTTCTTAAAGAAGTTTGATTTTATCACGAATGTACATCAAATATTGTAACTTAATATAAAAGAATACTGAGAATGAATGGTTGACTGAAAAAATGAAATGCACAATGACATGTACTTACTGATGATGATGATGAAGTTGATGTCTAAAATAACCTTAGATATGAGATGTCGTATGAGAACACAGGAAAACACTTTTTAGACGAAATCAGCTTCTCGAGTCAATGAAATACCTAAACACACAAAATATATTATAACTAATTGTTTTATACAATATTTGACAACTTGTTCAACGGCGTGCATACAAAACAATACGATACGATATATCGTAAAAAGGGGGCTAGTTTTCGTTGCGACTTTCGACGCGACAGGTGTTTCTATTTAACCTTCATAAGTTACAAGCAGTCGTAGCCCGTTTAAACGGTGGCTAAGCACGCTTCGAATCGTAAATATGAGTGTATACATACCGTCGAACACAAATCCCTATTCACCCGTGAACGTGTGAAACGAATAATCCATTACGGTCTTCCCGCTCGTACGTGTTTTGACGCCAATCAACATCGATGACTACCGACTGGCGTTAGTATCGGGTGAAGTTGTCATAGGTCAAGTCGCGCAATGCATGATGGGAAGAATATTGCTAAACGAACCGAGCGCGTAGTGCGTACCGGTGTCAAGTAGTGGAACGCGCGGCAATTAGTAGACGTGTATTGTGACAATTAATTAGAACAAAACGGTGTGTAGGATGTTTAACCGGTCGTAAATGGTGGTTCGAGAAACAATCGACGAGGACAAATATCGGTTGCTGCTTGTTCATCATGTAAGGTAAGTAAAACTTGTCATTTATTGCATCGTTACGTGTCCGAGTATAACACCACGTATTGATGTTGCATGCATTTTGAGATAATTTTACTTCTGTCAAGCAAAAGACTGTTAAGTCAAAATTAGGCGTTAAAATTTTTATACGAAACGTATGACACCTTTCAAGAGAATTTTACGATTGCTAAAGAAAGAAATTCGATTGTACGAAGTTCCGAATGCATAAAAGAGTTTATAACGCCATTGTTGATAGCCGTTTCAGAGGAGCATAAATGAGCCAATTGTTAAAGCTGTCAGATAAGATTTTTACTGGTGATTTCCTCCGAGGAAAATTGCCAGCGATACTGTAATAAATTTTCTTAGCATCGAGACCACGCTAAATTATTTTTCACGGTAAATTAATGAAAAATTCTTGGATCAAATACTTCCGATCGATCGATCTCGATATTCTCCATTTCCTATTAATTTTTGCATAAAAAACCATCTTTCGCCCGCTTATATTATCCACTCTCTGTATTAAGTTAGACAATATGAAAATATACGGGAGCATTTCCCGACAAAGACCGCCATAGCAAAGAGGTTAACGGCCTCTATATAAATTCTGTGGTGCAGGTCTCGAGCAAAATACCGGTAAAACGCATCTCGCGTAAGTGGATGCATCTCTCGCGATATTAAATACATAATCGCCGACACAGAGGGTATCTCATGAAAAAAGAAAAGATCCATCGCGACCAAACCCCTATGCTGAAACATCGGAGTAGCTGTTTTACGAAGTACGGCCACTTTGTCTCGATTTCAAGCACACTTACCACTCGTGCAGCTGTAAATATCCCACGGTATTATCGTTTCGTCGTTGTACCTTGCCTTTAGTTTACGTGTCGACTGAGATTCGATAAAAATGTAAATATGTTCGGACATGTTTATAACGCGAGTCCGAACACGCGTAAGTTTTCAACGTAAGTACCTTTTTCGTTATCGGTCCTTTGCTCGAGCATCAATGATAAATACCAAATTAAAAGAAAAAAAACTAAGAATATTAAATAGGGAAAGTTTTTTCTGATAACCCGGTTCTTTAAATTCTCTCTCGATTCTCGTTTCATCGAAAGGTCAGAGGTATTTCGTGAATTTGATAGTCAGATGATGGTACCGTTGGAATAAAAGATTCGCCTAGTCGTTTACAGTGTTCGAAACGGATAGGTGCATTCGTCTAGTGAGAAATGGTGAAACTGTAAGAGGTATCGGCGGTAGATGTTGGTGAAAAGTGCGGACCTTTCGCTTCCTATTTTCCTATTTCCACTGTATCCGTGTGTATTTCCAGTCTTGAAGAATTGCCATTCATCGATCCTGGCTATAGCATCGGTGGTCGCAGTAATACGGAATATATCGGGAAAACATTTCCGCTTTACGAGCCAGTTCATTTTCTTCGTTCAAGGCAGTTTACATCGCTAGAATAAATGTTGAAACTCGAACTTTGCATATACTTTAGATCGAACGATTAAACCCGTATGAAATATAGTCACATTCGTGATTCAGATTAGAATCTGAACACGAGTACAGTACCGTAGTTAATGTATCACATAGGCTTTTAGATAATTTTAGAAATTATTAAAAATGAAATTTTTTAAGCAACAGGTTAACAACACGATACATAGATGAATTTTCGTCCACGGTTTTGGTAATGATCGTTTTTGTTAGTAATTGTACGATTGGGATTGGAATTGACCTGATTTCACGGGGGCTTAGCATAAGTACGGTATTTATACGAGGACATAAACCAACTAGGAGTTGTCTCGCCGCATACTATTGATCCTAACCAATTCTAGAAGGTCAGAAGTGGGATACGTCGTTATTAATTGCACATCACATCGTGCAACACGGTACTAATCTAGATAATTGCTTTGTACCGTGTGGAGAGAACGTCCAACTAGGATAAATCATACCCAGTTTAATTGGCAAATAGGAAACGCGTTCTGGTTTCTAACATTATAACGTTACGTTCAAAATGTTACCAGCTGAAATTTTGAGATATAATATAAAATCCTAACTACCTTTAAAGAAAGCTTCCCCGTACAGTTAGAGTTTCAACATTATTACCTGGGGTAATTTCAATAATGGGAACAAACCGCGAGGGAAAATTTTATTCCATTATCTCAATCTTTCTTTGGATTTCCTCTTTCTATGGGATGTCTTTTTTTCTTAAACGAAACTGGGGGAGGAATAAGCTTCCAAAATTCATGGGCAGAGGAAAGTTTAGGCAATCGTTCACCCCACTGCAAGTTTCCTTACCGTCTAAAAGCTGTTCCATTTAATGAAAATTAAATTAAATTCAAAGTAATCTATGAACGATAGAGGTTTAAATAGTTCTTCTTTAATATAAATCTAAAAAATGTAGAAAAAAAGAATAATTAAGCGTTTGGGGAGGTATTAGACAATGGAAATAGGAATTTATCGTACTTTGTACTATCTCAACTCCGAGTAATACAATTAGCAATTAGTATTTCTTCCGGTATATATTAGCCGAGTTATTATAAATGGAATTCACGGTACTTGAAAGAGTGGACTAATTTTTCCATGCAATTTTTAAAATACTGCTGCGTTCCGTGAAACTGTTTAATGTTTAACATCGAACGGCTAGAAAAGAAGCGAACATACGAGAAAAATATCGTGCGAAGGGTGAAACGTGAAACACGCGAACACACATCACGCCACCGGTGAAATAACTAAAATCTTATCTCGGTTTCATTTTCGCGAATTAACGGCGCACACTCTAAACGACAGTTTTAACCGATTTTTCATACGATTACCCTGCTGGCTGGTTAATTGTAAGTAATTCATTAGCAACCATTCAATTACTCGCAGTTGTAAAATTATTTCCTCGAAGCTGCTTGATGAAGAGTTTTTATACAAATGGACACAGACTAATCTCTGGAAGAATATCACGACCCTATTATACTTTCTTTCTAAAAGAAAAAAAAAAAAAAAATAGAAATAGTTCGTTATTGAAATTCGGTAAAATTGCTTCTGGATCTAAAAATATAAGAGTCTGAATATATTTGAAATTTCTATGTTACATTTCTTTCAACATTCCTTTGAAATCATATTTCTAAAGCTTTCACTGGCCCTGATTTTTCGAGCTTGTTATCGATATAAGCTTTCAAAAGAAAAAGTATATATCTGCGGTGAAAGGTCACAGGTATACATCAGGAGCGTAGTTTCTACACGTAACATCGATTCAATATCCGGGAATGGAAATAAAAATTACTTCCTCTTTAATAAACCGTTCTCACAGTTTGCGCTCAAAGTTGTACGAGTGTTTAAAAGCCAAGAAGCGACCGTCTATTGTTCGTGTATGCAAGTTTCTGCGGTGCATTGTCGCGTCAACGCGACTGCAGCCGCAGAGAAAGTTAACTTTACCCATTCATCAGTTGACCAAACATCTACTGACCAAATTGAAACGTTTTCGTCGCTCTCCCATCCCTATACCTGTTCATCTTGATCTTTGCTTCCCACCTCCGTCGATCGCAGCGAACGCTTCAAACGAGAAATGCAAATTCCATTTATCCGTGAGTGTTACAGATGCAATTAAACTCGGTCGACGGGGAAGCTCGAATAACATCACGTTTGAGTGGTACTTTACGGGGGAAATCGAAGGATAGCAACAAAATGGGAAGCGTAGAAATTTCAAACCCCTGTTCTGGCTCTTATACAACGTTGAATGATGAAAATTATATTAGAGCATGTGGAAAGTGGTATCGTTTCTCTTATTAAATATTTTAGGGTGCATCGTTCGATGAATGGAAGAAAAGTAAATAATACCAGTGGCGCGGAAACCCGGAAATTGCACGGTTCTGGTTATTTTCCCGGGAATTTTTCTTTAACCCCCTCCCACCTACGTAAGATTTATTATTCCGCAGATGTTACGATAGCGGTTAAGTGGAGTTGGTTAATTGCAAGTCTGTTTCCCTCGTTCTCGAGTGTCCGGGAAACTTTTAATTAATCAAATTAGCAGATAACTCGGCATACCCGACGCGGTTGATTATTAATAACTTGCTCGGTTAACGTTTACAGCTGCGTATAACTGCACTATTCGCGATCGTTAGATAAGGATAAGTATAGATCTCGTGGTCGGGTCTGGACGAAGTCTGGGTCAGATCTTGATTAGGTGGGATCTAGGTCAAGTCTGAACCGTGCGAAGTCTTTCGTCCCTGGTTTTATGAAAAATATCGCCATGAACGTTTTTACTGCCTGGAAAATTTCGTTGGGAACATTAGGAGGGTTGGTGGACATTATTCAAAAAGGAAACTTTGTACACCCCTATCGAGCCTTCGGAGAAACTTTTACTTCAACTTACGAGCGTTACGTGCACGCTTGGGCATCGTCGAACATAATTCAACTAAACCAGAAATAATTTCATTTAATAACCATGAAGAGGCGAAACCCTTTTAGGGTAAAATTGCAATATTATGCCGGGAACAGAGGATAGACATTCGTCAAATTGTCAAATCGTCGAATTGCATAGGTTTCGTAATAAAAATTTTGTTCGATGTTCAGACCCGTGTGAATTGCGTTTTAAACGATTGAAATGGTTTACTCCGAAACAGCTCCGCTAGAAGAATTTTAATTACCAGTTTCGACCCAATACCGAATTGCACGATTCAATTTAAAGGTAAACATTGAATATTGATAAGTGCATCGAGTATGGAAATTTTTTATCTTCTCTGTTTTATACTAATTTCGAGGGTGCTCTTTGAATCTGTTCTTTTCAAAGAAAATCATTCCAACAATCGAAATGCATATTCAGCGATTCATTCCGAGGGTGTAAAAAATCTTGAATATTAAGATAAAGTTTCTCATCTTTGCATCGGTTGCCAAAACAATAATGTTATGCAGAAATTCTTGCAAGTTCGACGAATGTGTGGTGCATGCGGATAGCACACATTTCAGGAGGGGATTCGATTTTCATCGAAGAGACGTTGTTTCTGCAGTGTAGAGGATCTTTGCATTGG